ATTATTATTATTATTATTATTATTATTATTATTATGATTACTATTATTGTCCTTATTACTTCAAATTAATACATACTTCACTGGATACCAGTCAGCAGTTTCACCTTGTTTTTGTGCTGTGTAGTACGTCTTCAGCCCATTCAAATTTGTTGGAAAAATTTATCACCCCTTTAGCTGCAGATATTTTAGATAATAGAACCGAAAGAATTGTTTCAAGTGGATGTCAGTTTCCCACATACCACACATTGCCTTGGTAATGGTAATATTATGATAAGCACCTTGGGAAACGCAAAAAATGAACCTAAAGGTTAGTGTGATTTATAATGCTAGAAAAAAAAAAGAAATTAAAAATCCTTACAACGAGTAGAAACCAGCATTTCAAAATTACTTGATCTGAACAGTAGCAAATAAGTCATCTAATCTCCACGCATTTTACACTACTTCGAGACCGTCAAAAACTATTTTTTTATATGATGAACCTTATAAGAGCGATAATAACGATGTATTTAGTTTATGTCCTTTATCTATGTTAAACTGTACAGACTATGTCGTAATATCACGCAAAACAATAGTAAGAATATCTTTCACCGTCATAAAAAAGTGTTATTTGAAATGATTCGTAGCAGAGAAATAGTGGTTTACCAGTATTAACAACAATCTTGTCCAACAGTTCATCCAGGCGTGTCGGCCGCTCCTCAGTTACTTATACTTATGGACTAATGGTCATTAGGTATCACTCAACTGAACAATTTCAGGTGACTTTTTATTGGTAAATGGGAAAACTTTTGAAGTCGTCGGTACTTGGCCTGCACCGGACAGCGACAAACCACGGTTTAACTATGATTTTTGGTATCAGCCTCGGCGTAACGTGATGATCAGTACAGAATGGGGGTCACCAAAACATATAAAGGGTGGCCTCGAAGCCAGCCACGTCCTTAAAGGTACCATCAATAAACCCACTCTTCCTTCCGAGTAATTTGGTGTAAATGCTCGACTTTGCAAGGTGGTCACAAACAAACACACCTCCAATTTCCTGAACATTCTATTACTTGTTATCTCCACTCAATGGTAGTGCCCGCTGCCCTGAATGGACAGAGAGTGTGGATCGTGGAGTTGAACCCCCAAGCTCAAGGCCAATAGTTCTGCACAACCAAACTGCACTACTCTACCCACCCTGCGAATGTTTTAGATTTCAATGCCCATGATTTAGACCCCTCTGGCGAAGTTTATAGCGTGAGTAATTGGAAAATGCCGCTTAAAATACTAATGTAAAAACTGATATACAGTTTAGACGGAATATATGGATCTGATATCCATGTATGGGACTGGGAGAAACATTTAATGAAGCAGACAATCAAGCTGGGTTTTGCTGATGGTGTTACACCGTTCGAAATCCGATTTTTGCATAATCCTGCATCAACACATGGATTCGTCGGTTCAGCTTTTGGATCAACCCTTTATCACTTTTATATGCCAGAGGTAAATGCTTTGCTATTTATTGGGGCTTACTCTTATACAAAAAAATAAGATTCAACAAATTCAGGGTAGCGACAAATTTATGGCGGAACAGGTCGTTAAAATTCCGGGGAAGAACTTGAAAGATTGGATGCTACCAAAAGTACCAGCACTTTTATCAGATATTATCATATCAATGGATGATAAATATTTGTATATGTCCTGTTGGTTACATGGAGAGGTGCGACAGTATGATATTTCAAAGCCAAATTCTCCAAAATTGGTTGGACAGGTCCGCAAATAACTTTAAACATTTCGAATTTTTCATATGTTTCAAATTTTTTTTGACCGTTACCCACTGAATGCTTAATCAATAATATTAATCTTTGCATAGATTTTTATCGGTGGTTATGGCCCTGCAAACCTGGAAGGCGAAGATGAGACTTGCGGGGTAACTAAATCGATCTTCATTTGTTAAAAAAATTTCTACAGTAGGCTGACTGTAACTTCAAAAACCTTATTTACTACAAGTTTTAAAACTTTATTAATTTCAACTTTCTGTAAATCATTTTCCTTTTTAAAAAATAATACTTTCTGAACAGAATAGAATACGTGAGTTGAATGGCAAGGTAATAGACGGAGGACCCCAAATGTTGCAATTAAGTCTTGACGGTAAACGCCTATACGTGACCACATCATTGTTTAGTATCTTTGACAAACAGTTTTACCCAAACCTACTCAAGTAATTTATTACAACTCTTATTATTAATGATACCTTTTGAAGCTACAAATGTCATTTTATTCTATTAAACCTTCCATTTCGCTTCGGGAGCAGTGGACTTCTGCAGTACAAAATCAACTTTGCACAGTTATCGAGCACTAGTTACAGGATAAAAAGTTGTTTTTTCTTTTTTTTTTTTCAGGACCGGTTCAAAAATGCTTCAGATAAACTGCAATACAGAATGTGGTGGACTCATGTTGAATGAAAAATTCTTGGTCGATTTTGGTGAAATGGATGATGGCCCATTTTTAGCGCATGAGATGAGATATCCGGGCGGCGACTGTACTTCGGATATCTGGTTGTGAAGTTTTGGCTACTCATATCAAGTCCTTACGACAGCTATACTGTTTATAAATAATGAATATTATCCTTTGAAAAAGATAAAAAATTATTATTATTGTTATTTTCATCGTATTATTGTAATTTGTTACAATTTTTCGTTTTCTTTTTTTTGTATCATGTATACAACTTGGGGTACAGCTGAATATACCAATAAGTTTACTAAAGCGATTGTAAGGGCAGTCGAACACTTTTAAAATAGATAAAATCCAGGTTTTGAAACTACTGGATCATGTAATGTATGAAAGAAAAGCAATTTCACTAAAGTTGAGGGCTTCAACAAGGCCTCTTTAACAGCATGACAGGTGGCAATCAAGAGGTGAAAAAAAAAGGCAAGATCATTAGCAAAGTGTATAAAGATGAACTCTGTTATCCAGATACAAAAAAAAAGCACCAATGCAGTGTCAACACGAGAAAGTAAAGTATTATACTTTCCCAAAAAAACTTCACTGACAATCTCAGCGTCAAACAGACGCAGTCAAATGCACAATAACTAGTAACCAAAGTATAAATTTTAACAAATAAACAATCAGCCTCAGAGGGATGAATACTGCAGGTAGAACGAAAAAGTCTATAAGGCTCCAAGTTCTTGCTTACCTTAGCTAATCCAGAACTTGGGAAACAGCCAGATGTCAACAAAATTTCTAGAACACGAACTTTCAGACAAGTACGACACCGTTGCCAAGCCCAACTAACAGTTTTAAACCTCCTACCCGGCTCCTCAATTGTCGGACAACTAACCGCAGTCGTTTCGCATTCGTTTCTAATTTATGTGACTTCTAAAGCGAAAAACCTCTTTGTAAAATTGCCAAAATTCTAACTCTTCTTCATCTTGAAAGCACTGAACCAAATTTTCCTCTGAACTGTCGTCGAAAATGCGATTTTCAGACTGTCTTTTTTTTTTCTTTAAATTTCCTATTATCTTTACTAATTCTCGTTTTCTGCTTTTTTCAGATCAATTAGAGTAAGTACTAGTGCTAATTAATGCTACATCTTCGATTTAAATATCTTTAATTATTTGAGCCTTGTTCATATTTAAATTAGCGTTCCTTTAGGAGCTTGGAATAGGGCTTTTTCAACGTTATCGAATTTGTGATTCTTTAGGAAACACAGTTTTTAATTTTATTTAATTGCATCTATAGATGAGAATAAGCGAACTGTTGAGGTAAAAGTATTCTACCATATAACTTTTATTTCGTTACTCTTCAGTTCTAAAAACTGTTTTTTTATTATCAGTATAGTTGTCTTTGTTAACAAAAGTTCCTCTCCAAAATTTTGATGCAGCAAATAATCAGGTCTATAAAACTGAAAAAGTTTGATGAATCTGTTGTGCCCAGTTCAATTTGCAGCTAAAAACTTTTCAATTAATTTCTTATCTGTAGAGACCGTAACAGTATTTAATGTTCAAGCCGTTGGTCGCAAATTTCAAATTTCAGTAGTATCAGCCAAACTTAGTCCTTTAGGATGCAAAGTTGAGGTGACGTCTTTGGCAAATCATTGTTTATTTCAGTGCGGTGTATTAGAGTGGTTTAGCAAACCTCAAGGTTTAGAATTTTTTGAAAAAAATTTCAGTAGTTTTGTATCACATGCGATTCGTGAATACAGTTGAGTAACAGTGAATTTATTTCTTTGCTTATAAAAACGATTTTTTTAGGTAGCTTGTGGTACAAAAATGGCGATCTCTATACCAAAATCAGGTTATGCACGTTTTTTAAAAGAAGGAGCACAGGTACCAATTGCTTAATTTTTTTGTTCTTTTTTAACATTTGTTGTTCAGCTAAAAGGAATTTCCGCAAAGTAGAAGAACTTCTTTGACAATGCGGTTCTTCTTCAGCATTTCAAAGGCGTAGAAGAAGCGGTGCAACGTAATATTGAAGCATGTGTCGAACTAGCATTACAAGTTCGTTCTGCCTATGGGCCAAGTGGTATAGTTGGATTGATAAACACTTTAGTTTTCTTTTCTACACATTCTTGTTTATTTTTTTAACAGTTGGCGTTGTTTTTTGAAGACGTTTGCTTGTTAAAGAAACTGCTTTAAAAAACAGATTCTTGTTTAAGGGATGAACAAGATGATTATAAACCATATTGAAAAGCTGTTTGTGACTAACGATGCAGCAACTATCCTTAAAGAATTAGAGGTCCAGCATCCAGCTGCGCGCATGATTGTTTTAGCATGTCAGATGCAAGAGAAACAGATTGGAGATGGAACTAATACTGTAGTTATATTTGCTGCTGCCTTATTGGAGCAAGCTTCAATGTTACTGAACATGGTGGGTTTGGAGCTTTTTGTACTTCAACTGTTTAATTTGACAAGCAGCAAAGGTAATATTTCATTTCAATAATAGGAGTAGTAACAGTTATATCTTGCCCTCTGCAGGGTCTACATCCCACAGAAATTGCGTCTGGTTATGAGAAAGCGAGGGATATGACTTTAGAGATACTTCCTACTTTGGTTGTAAAAGAGGCAACTGACTTACGAGATGAGAAGGCGGTGCAACAGTATCTGCGGTCTGCAATAATGTCGAAACAGTATGGAAATGATGAATTTATTGCTGAATTGGTTGCTAAGGCTTGCGGTATGTCAAATTCTTTTTATTAATTCGGCATATGCTTGACTGTTCTAGTTTTGAAGGTGTTATTTTTTGATTTTCAGTTCAAACGGTCCCTAAAAACTCGTTTAATTTCAATGTTGATAATATTCGAGTCTGTAAAATTATCGGATCAGGAGTTCAAGCATCACGCACTATGAATGGTATGGTTTTTCGGCGGGGAGCTGAGGGGGAGGTAAAAAAAGTGGAAAATGCCTCAGTTGCTGTTTATGCCTGCCCCTTTGATTTGACTCAGACGGAGACAAAGGTGGGATATAGGATTTATTTTGGCACGATTATGATATGATAACACTTTTACTTCCCTCTTACTAATTAGCATCTTTCAGGGCACGGTGCTGATGGAAACTGCTGATGAGCTTTTAAAGTTTAGTGCAGGAGAGGAAAAAGAAGTTGAAGCTCAAGTGAAGGCTTTAGCTGATGCAGGCGTTACTGTTGTTGTTGCTGCTGGTAAATTTGGTGATCTTTATGTGCATTTCCTTAATAAGTTCAAGATCATGGGTGTTCGGCTGACCTCTAAATTCGATCTTAGGCGTCTTTGCAGAGCTACTGGTGCACAAGCTCAAGCTCGCATAGTAAGTTTTCAAATGATGAGAAAATGCGTAGAAATTACTTTACACATTTAGTTGTAAGCTTTAAAAAGTAGCTCTCGTTGCACTTTGTCGATTTTTCTAATGTCAAGGATACCTCTGCACGTAAGTTTGCGTCAGTCACGCACATGGTTCCTGTTATAGTGTGCCCCTTCTCCGAATTCCTTGGGCGTTTGTGACCGAGTATTTGTGGAAGAAATTGGTGATACTGAAGTATGCGTCTTTGACAAATATAGTGAACGCGGAGCAATAGCCACCATAATTGTTCGTGGCTCCAGTCAGTCCGGGATGGACGATGTTGAAAGGGCCATTGACGATGCTGTAAACGCCTATAAAGCTCTTACTAAGGATTGCAAGGTTGGTAACGTGCCATTTTTTTACTGTTCTTCACAGTTGTTTTTTAGAAGCAGATTTATTAGTTTTAGCTAGTTGCTGGTGCTGGTGCTGTTGAAATTGAGCTTGCGAAACAGTTGGAATCTGCAGGTGAAAAATGTGCAGGGCTTGAGCAATATGCTATTAAAGAATTTGTTCACGCTTTGGAAGCTCTCCCCAAACAGCTTGCTGAGAATGCTGGAATGAAAGTAATTTTTACCGAAATATCTATTTTCATTAAAGTTTTTTATTTACTCGAGCTTTTCGAAGCTTTTTTTCTATTAACGAAATTTTCCGTTTAGAAACTGATATGCTTCTTTTGAAAGTCAAAGTCAAGTTCTTTGAAAGTCAAAGTTCTTTTTATTTTTTGGGTGAAATATAGCTTTAAAAGTTTAGCCTGCTGAAGTACTTTCGAAATTGTATGCTGCACACGAAGAGGGATTACAAAACGCAGGTATTGATATTAGTGGTGGGCTTGGTATATTTGATTCTGTTGAACACAACATATATGACGTTTATTCCGGGAAACGGTCAGCTATTAGGCTAGCTACAGATGCTGCTGTTACAGTTCTGAAAGTTGACCAGGTTTGTGGCTTACAAAAAATTGTTCTTTTTTTTTTTTTGTTGTGAAGGAATATATTTCAGTTTGCTAATGCTTACAGTGCGCTCAGTTAATAAAGTGAGGATTGACTGCAAATTTTCTGTAAATCACTTTTCTATCACTATTTCTTTTCGAATAAATGTGACTGATCACTTTCAGATAATAATGTCGAAGCCAGCTACTGGAGGTCCCAAACCACGAGGGCCTAAACCACAAGATGAAGATGAGGACGGTATGGCTTGAACAGTAATGAAGCGGCGCTACGTTTAGTTCTTTTCTTGACTTTATTCTTCGCTTTAAGCAATTTTTGGCAACCTCATACTTACAATTTCGTAAGCATCAAATTTTGAAATAATCTTGGATGCTTCAGAAACTCAAGTTTATGATCGTTTCTGATCTACAGAATCTAAAAGCTTGTTCTGATGAGATTCTGCTGTAGCTTGGATTTTCCCCGGTTTTTTAAATATCAATGAGGGATTAGTGATCACCGGTTATGATCATTGCCGTTTTTTGTTTTGTTTTGTTTTGTTTATGCTATGCTTCACGAGGATATTCGTTTGTTTGTCGTTATATCTGTTGACTGCTTAATAAAATCATCTTACAGAACCCTCTGGTAGTTTTGTATTTTTTTTCAATGAGTTGAATGTTGTCTCAGTGTTACTTCGAAGCTAAAGATGTTAGTCATTTTATCCTTTAGGATCTGTAAAGGGTTCCGTTCCTTTGTGGACGCAGTTGGATTTTTTTGAAACTAGTATTATTGTAACACAGATGTGTTTGATAGATTGATCTCTAATGGAGACGTGAGTATCGCTCATGGTTCTCTGATTTCTTGTGGTTCTTCGGATGTTTTTTCTGTCGTTTTGCGAAGGAAGCTGTGCCAAGTTTTTTTTTAGTGGTTTGTGACATTTTGTGGTAAAGTTATATGTTCTTTTAAGATCCTTTTCGAGATGACGGATGAGATCTCAAGTGCTGTTTCACGGATCATTATTGGTGAAAGTGATCATAAGTCTCAAATTGACCAGTAAGTTAGAAGTGACTCTGATTTGATTGGAAATATTCTCAAGAAACAATTTGATTATGCGTTTTCTCGCTGTACTGTGAGCATTGCTTTTGCAAATGAAGTAGTTTACACTGATGAATCAACTTGTAGTTTTGGAACTGTCTAGCTGGTAAAATTATATTTATGTTTCATTGTAATTGCCTTTATTTTCTTATTCAATTAGGTTGAATGTTCTGTTACAACAAGCTCTAACTGCTGATGGTGATGAAACGGCAATGTGCAATAACGTAATCAAGTTGGCAGATGCTGGTATCGTTTTTATATGCTAAATTATCGAAACCCTAGTTTATTGGAAGTAGAAAGATTAAACAGTAGTACAAAAAACTGTTCAAGGTTGATCGGGAAGATTTTTCTCTAAAAAATTGTTTTTGGTTTTTATGCTGCTATTGCATCACTTTTTCAGTTGTGAATCAAGAAAGTGTATCAATGGTTGTGTCACGACAGTTCGTTACTGATTTAGTAGAAGTGATGAATTCACTTCAGCTGACTGCAATAAAGGCTATTGCTAATGGACTACTTTCTTCGATTCAGTCACGCCTAATTTCTTATGAAGAACAAGTAAATTTTATTGTTAACTTAGAATGTATTATAATCAATTTATTCTACTTTGGTCATTTGCTTTTGAATGCAGCGTATTTTTGTTTTTGGGAATAATTCTAGGTTGCTCAAATAAGATTCAAGCTTGCCGATATTTATGAAAGTGAGGGCGACGCAAAAGAAGCGGCTAAGATGCTTATGGCTGTACCACTGGAAACGGGTCAAAGGTAAACGTTTATTTTGGTTTGAGCATTTAATTGAAAGCTTTTGGAGTTTTAGAGTCATTTTTCTACTTTTTATGTTTATTTTCTAAAGAACTAACATTTTTCTAAAAAATGTTGTTTAGAAGCTACAGTGCTGAAGTCAAGATGCGCACATATCTGAGGATTGCTCAGTTAGCTTTAAGTTATGGAGATGCAGCTGAAGCTGAGGCGTATATTAACCGGGCATCAATGTTGCAGACTGATGCAAAAAGCGACGAATTGAATGTCATGTACAAAGTCAGTACAGGTTTATTTGTTAGTTTTAACGCTCATATTTTGGAACTTTGATTTCCGTTGGTATGTATAAGTGTTGCGAAAACGTTTTTCCAAATTCACTTTTTAATTTTTATATTTTCCTTTTTCGAATCACTCTTGCCTGTTTCACTATTTTCTTCATATTTGATAGTTGTTGTTTGGATTTTCGGCAGCAGTAGTGTAAATATTAGTGGACGTCTCGTTATACTGATTTAAAATAGTTCAACTTTCTTGTAGTTTTCTCTTTCATTGATCGCTTCTCGACTTTGCAGTTTCGCATTGACTGTTTTTTATTTGATAGCAGTCTTTGTTAGCGTTTGAAAGCTTTGGTTATCTGAAAGGCTTGGAGACTGATCTTTTAAAATGATTTTTATACGTTTTGCTATTCAGTAGTGTCGGAAGGACGTTCCATTGAGTCTCCTTATTTATTACCAGAATTTTATTAGGAATAATTTCACTGAACATCTTCAAATCACATTTGCGAAAACTTTGGCTGGTGCTAAGAAGGAGATTATAATTTTAATGGAGCACTAGTTTAGGCACTGTACGCTAGAGTTTTGGATCACCGTCATAAGTTCATTGAAGCTGCTCAAAGGCATTATGAGTTGTCACTGATGCCTGCTCTTTTAACGTCAGAGAAGATGAACGCATTGACAAATGCAATCACATGCGCCATTTTGGCATCTCCTGGTGAGTGGTGCTATTGTTACAGGGAACTAGTATCTTATCTTACATTTTAAATGTTTGTTCCTTTAATTTTTTTAATAACACTAGAGTTTCAGGGGCTCAGAGATCTCGGATGTTAACTAACTTGTATAAAGATGAAAGGTGCGAAAGGTTGCCATCGTACAGCATTTTAAAGAAGATGCATTTAGAAAGGATAATAAAACAAGAAGAGGTAGTTCTGGCTCATTTGCTTTCACTTTCTTACACTGTCTTCTTGTTTTTTATTGATCCTAAAGTAGTTGAATTTTAAGCGTTTATTATCAGCGTTGTAGATTGTGGAATTTGAGAAGACTTTACCTGATCATGAACGCACAACAACTGATGGATGGACAATTCTTGAAAAAGCTGTATTAGAGCACAATCTTATTGCAATCGGAAATGTTTTCGTGAACATCAGTTTTGAACAACTTGCACAACTTTTGAATATCGAAGTTCCTAGAGTTAGTGACATTTTAATTATAGAGCGGTGTTAATCACAATACTATCGTCACAAAAACATATGGTACTAAAAACTCACGTGTGACGCAACAAAGCAGTGTGATCTGATTTATCTTTTCATAAAAACTTTCTAGTTAATTGAAATTTACTTGCTTCAACAGGCTGAAAGAATGGCGTGGAATATGATTGCTGAGAAGCGTATTAACGCAACAATTGATCAGTTAAAAGGATACATCCATTTCACTCGTTAGTACTATAATTCCTCGTTCTTGGATTCTCACAGCCAAGTATTTAGGCTCTGAGATTCCAGTTCGCTTTCCCTTATCAACGTTTTCCTCACACTGCTTCTATTTTAGAACCGGATGTTATAAGCGGTTGGGACGAACAAATAGGTGATCTTTGCCAGCATGTAAACTGCATTGTTGACATGATACTTCAGGAGCAAAAGGCTTGGGCTACTTCACACCTTGAAGGACTTACTACATCGACCTGATTGTTTTTGCAAGTTTATTAAGCTTGGTGCCGTTCAGATTTTTCGTATTTGAAGCTGGAGTTTGGTTTGCTGTGCTCTTATATAGTAACGGGTATTAGGATCTATTCAACTATAAATGTTTCTTGCAGTTGCAGTGATAACTGCAGGTTTGTTTTTCATTCATTTTTACTTTTATTTTTTCAAAGTGATGACTTACTGAGAAAGTGAGCTACTTTTTTTACCTTCATTTCTTTGCTATTTGCGACGAAACTTTGATTTTAGCGTGAGAAGTAAATGGTGTTTTTTAGTTGTTTATTTTTCACCATAACTGATTTTCACGATGTTCTTGAATCGGCTTGAAATCTCATACTTTAAGCTGTTGTTAAAGTGTAAATGCTTTCTTAATTTCCAATGCATTTTGTATATTGCATTTTTTCTCTTAATATAATCATATTGGTTTTTTCTGCATGGGAGGATTCTTGTTTCTTTTGTAAAGTTTCGTGTGGGAGGCTTTAAGACTTCTTTTTTAAAAAAGATAAAAGATCTCTTTTATATACCAAGTTTCATTCTGCTCTGTTTGCTTTATTTGCAGAACTTTTCCTCTTTTATTGTAAATGTCATGAATGATGTTATGTTTTGAAATTGCTGTTGTTTGATGTGCCTTAGGTTTACAGTTTATATACCGATATTTGAGGTGATCTTTTTAATGAACTTCAACTTTCAATTTTTTTTCTTTTTTGGATGAAAAAGAAATTTTTATACGTTTTTGACCATTTATGTGTATGAATTATTCTTCTCTTTTTTACGTTTATGCTGATAATGTTTAGGCAGGCTTGTAACTCGGTGAAGTTTTATTTACAGTAATAAAATTACTGCTCTTAGTAGTTGGTCACCAAATGTTTTCTTTTTACTTTGGTTTACTTATTTTTTGGGTGTCATGACTCTACCCTCGTTCGCTTGACAAGTCGTTCACTTTGAATGTTGGCATTTATTTCTTTGTGATCAACGCATCATTTAGTTGAAGTCTGCGAAAATGGGGTTTGAATATTTGACATGTCCAGGTATAAAAAATTGAGTGTAGTTTAGCAAATGCACCCTTTTAGAAGTTTTTCCAATTACTGATTAAAGGTGAACTGAGGTTTGAGAAAGATGTGATGATGTTACTTGTAGGAGTACAAATTCTTATTGTTGGTGCTGGAAGGTTTGGAGTTTACTGCAGTTTGGAGTCGTTTCTGGTCGTGAGTTTCAATAAAATTTTGGGAAACTGGTTTAATGTGAATCAGAGACTGTTGGGGATCATAGTGGAATTTATAAATACGTATTTTGTCTCATTTATTTGTGATTAATAGAGTGGTATACAATCAACAACGGCGGCTTTCAGTGAAATTAAAAATATAGTGGAGTTCAATTTTTTTTCGCTTGAAAAAAAAAGAAGTACGCTTTGTAGAATTGTTTTGTAGATGCAAATAAGTATTTGGAAAGTTGCGGAAGGGAGAAGATTGTGGATGTTCTTTGATTAACAGAGGATTGATTTTGAAATGAAAGTTTAAATTTTTGAAAGCTGTTTAAAGAACAGAAGGTAGTAGTTCCTGTTTTCAAAGTATTACATTAATTTTACCCCATTTTTTTTAATTTAGAATAAA